GACGCCACCACGGGGCAGCGAGGGGCCGCGCGCGGCTCCCCAGGGCGGCGCGACGGGAAATCGGGGCCGCGGGGGGTCGCGCGCGGCTCCCCAGGGCGGCACGACGGGAAATCGGGGCCGCGGGGGGTCGCGCGCGGCTCCCCAGGGCGGCACGACGGGAAAACGGGGCCGCGGGGGGTCGCGTGCGGCTCCCCAGGGCGGCACGACGGGAAATCGGGGCCGCGGGGGGTCGCGCGCGGCTCCCCAGGGCGGCGCGACGGGAAATCGGGGGGGGGGGGGGGGGGGGGGGGGGGGGGGGGGGGGGGGGGGGGCCGCGGGCGACGGGATCGCGGGGCCGCGGGCGACGGGATCGGGGGGCCGCGGGCGACGGGATCGGGGGGCCGCGGGCGTCCCCCACGGTAGGAAACCGCCGCGCGCCTCGGGGCGCACGGCGGGGAGAAAACCGCCGCACGCCCCGAGCGCGCGGCGGGATGAAAAATCCGTCGCACGCCACGGGGCGTGCGACACAAAGAGTAGTAGGAGCAGCGGAAGCAGGTGGTGGGGCCCACCCACAGGATCGACCCATCTGGATCGTCCTGCTCTGATACCATGTCAGAATCACTAGGCAAGAATGAATGCATTGAAAGGGAGAGGAGTTGCACTAGCAGCAGTTGGGGTACATATAGCAAACCCTAACTAGGTTGTACTCGCTATAGAGCACCCCACTACAGGCTAGACAATAATAACATTCTGACACTATGACCCGCAGTCAAGGGACCCTCTTTGCCATTTCGTCTCTTGTTCTTTTGATTCCATTCACTCTCATTCTAGGAAGCCACGCTCTCGCATTCATTCCTTTAGTCATTTTTACGCTACTCTGAGACCGACTGACCTCGCGTGGTGCTGGGTCGACAACGAGCCACAACGGTGTAGGGTGTGTATATGTCGACATAGTCTCCGGGCTGCCAACTTCGGATCATTCACAGTATTAGCCTAGGACGACTAGCTAGGTCGACAACATCCGAACGAGGCCGAGGTCTTTGTTCGTAGCCGAACCGGAATCGTCGTCACCGTAAAACCAGTCGAACAACATCTCGCCGAACAACATCCCCCTGAACAACACCCTGACGAACAATTACCCCCCCCCAACACCCCCCCAAACAACACCCAGCCGAACGACACCCCGACGAGCAACACCCCCCCGCCCAACACCCCCCCGAACAACACCCCACCGAACGACACCACGCCACTTAACACCCCGCCGATCGAAACTCCGCCGATAAACACCCCGCTAACCATTACCCCGCCGAACATCACCATGCCGAACAACACCTCGCGGAACACCAATCCGCTGCCCCAAGTTCCCGAACTGTCCGACATTGTCGCAGAGTTGACGATCGCTGAGAGGGCCGAACAAGTGGCGGCCATGAGGGCCTTTCAGATGGCGGACAACACTGCGCGAAAGGCATTACGCAGCAACGATTGTACAGTATCGCCTTTGGACGGCGGAGCACCCACCACCACGAGACCTCAGCGACAACTAGATGCCGACGAGAACAACTTTACCCGCCGAGATGGCAGGCATCACGCCGCCGGTGGTGAACAGCGCGATTCCCGACCTGAACGAGCCTTTCGTGGTGGTGAATGTAGACGCCGCTAGGGCAAATATTCCTGCCGACCCGACCATTCCCCTACCGCCAGGGACAAAAGGGGGCCCCCAACCTGAGCCGGACCCTGAGACGCCTTCGGCCACGGAGCAGCCGCCGCCAATTCACCCATTTCCAAAAAACGACATGGAGTACCTGACCATTGAGGATTTGTTGGCAGCCGACGAAGGAGAGGACGACTTCCTGCAGTTTATCCCGCACGACGATTTTGCGGAATCCACCTTCGACATCAACAAAGAGCTCGCCAAGAAGAATAGATTGTTGAGGATGGCCTGGGGTATGCGGCATCTGGACACGCTGGAGGCGGGAACGACCCGGGTGCAATACCTGCGGGCGCTTCTCAACTTCAAGAGATGGTGCTGTAAGAACCTTCCAAAACAGAAAACCGCCAGAATCAAGGGGGACGGCGTGCTGGAGTACGAGGACGAGAAAGGGAGGTACACCGACGACGACATGGGTGATCAGTGGTACACCGCCAAGTGCGAGGTTCTTTGGGTGCACGGTCCACAGGTCAACGCCACAAGGATCAGGGCGTACATTCTGTCAATTGCGAAGCAGAAGGGCATTGTAAAGACCGAGAAGCTCAAGGAGCTGAACCCCGACGTCCGTGTCCAGCCCCTGAAGGCGACAACTGTTTCGATGCTGCTCATGCGCATCAAAGCACTCAAGACAGCCTGCAAGGTCGAGGGGACGCTTTTCGGGGTGAAGGAGCTCCACATCATGTACGACATTTCCGAGGTCCGCTCGGAGGTGCACGCGATGGTCAGAGACAAGTGGCACAGGGACGACAGGTAAGTCGGCAATTCGTCCCGCGCGGTTCATGCCTGTTTCCCTGTCCGCTGAGCTAACCCTGTCCTCGTGTGGAAAGTGATGTGCAGGGATTGCATCCACCGGCATCGCGGAACGCTCGGCGACACGTACACCACCGAACAGTTCCGCCACGTCATGACCAAGGTGTTGCCGACCTGGGCGGCGCGGATGTATGAACCCAAGGCGGTCGCCCCCTCCCGAAGGCTGTGGAAGTTTCTGCTGATGAAGATGATGACTCTCCTAGCTCACCACACCCTTCTCCGCGGAGCCAGCGTCCGAGCGATCGAGACAGGTGGCACAGGGACGACAGGTAAGTCGGCAATTTGTCCCGCGCGGTTCATGCCTGTTTCCCTGTCCGCTGAGCTAACCCTGTCCTCGTGTGGGAACTGATGTGCAGGGATTGCATCCACCGGCATCGCGGAACGCTCGGCGACACGTACACCACCGAACAGTTCCGCCACGTCATGACCAAGGTGTTGCCGACCTGGGCGGCGCGGATGTACGAACCCAAGGCGGTCGCCCCCTCCCGAAGGCTGTGGAAGTTTCTGCTGATGAAGATGATGACTCTCCTAGCTCACCACACCCTTCTCCGCGGAGCCAGCGTCCGAGCGATCGAGCTCCCCGACTTGTTTTTGTATAGAATGGGGAGCACGTTGCCCGAGCACTCCACGCGACGACCGGTTGTCATGGTCGTCGCTTCACAAAACTCCAAGACGAACAAGGATGCTCATATGCATCACAACTACGCGGCGAGACACCTGGAGGAGGAGATGTTTGCCGTCGGTCACACACTGTTGTGGCTGCATTTTGTTTACGACCAGCTGAGCCGCTCGCTCACCTCTCGACTAGTGCAGACCCTCGACTTCAGTACTCCGTACATGTGGTACCACAAGCACCTCTTTCATGCTCGGAATGACAAGACACAAAAACAGCTGCCGGCATCACCGCATTCTCGGATCACACGGGAGATGTGGCGGACGAACAAGATCTTCATCTCGCGCAACACCCACGCCACCCAGGCAGGTGGGGCACAGGAGCAAGCTGACGATGGAATTCCGCAATCTGACATCGCCAACTTTGGCCACTAGGTGCTTGACAAGCTTGCAAAGAGCTAAATCACGACCATCCCGAAGGCGGCGGTGTTAAGAAAGGTCGCCTACACGGGCAAGCGCAGTGACTACCACCTCGGCCTCACCATGGTAAAGCCCAATGAGAATATCTTTCCCTCATCGCTGGGCATACCTTTCCATGGACAGAAGCGGAACTGGCCAAGGTGAGCAATTCAGACGGCAGAAACGCCGACTACCCGCCACCCATTTCCACGCCGACTTTCCACCGACTGTTGATTGTGTTTGTGTTCGTCTCGCAAGCGGAAAAGTGCGCCACGCCGAAAGAATCCAACACGGTCGGAGTGCACTTCTTGAAATTGCTCATCGAGTTTGGCCGCCGCATCGTCGCCGAGGATCTTGCGTGCATGCTGATGCGCGAACCGTGGCACCCGTATGTCCAGGGTTCCAAGCTCTGCCGCGACCCTGACTTCCAAGAATGGGCCAAGGACGTCAACCGGGTGGACCTCGAAACCATCGCCATGCACCGTACTCCGACAGAGAACACCCAAGAGGTACAGCATGTGCATTCCGACGACTAGTAAGACAAGTCGTCCTGCTTTATTTGCTGACCGTTTGCCACCCATCCCCCTAGAATTACAGGAATATAGCGCGAGAATCGACGCCGAACATCAGGTCGACCAGCTGACCCTGATGCTGCACCGTCAGAGGGAGGATGCCGCGATCGAGAAGCTTGAGCTGCAGAAGAAGTTGGAGGAGAAGGACGCGGAGATCGCGAGGTTGATGCAGGCTCTCAAGCTGGCCGAGGCACGACCGACGCCGTCTGCGCCGGCGCCGCCGACCCCAAGGCCGATGACCGACGCCGAGAAGGCAGAGGCTGTCAAGATCGAGAAGCAGCATGCCGACGACCTGATGTACGAGGTGACGTCATGCATCCCTGGCGCACGTCCAAGACGGTCGAGGCTGCATGTCGCTAGTGGAACGACCCCTCGCACTTCGACGCGCGTCCCTTGCACGAACGTTACGAGGAGCCCAGACTCCTCGTCAGACACACGCGCATGATCTGCAAGGTCGAGAAGCCCGACAAAACCGCAGCATCGGCGAAGTCAGCGAAGAGTTCTCGTGGCCGAAAACCGTCGATCGACAAATGTCCCACGACCGAGATGGGAGAGATGGGGAAAAACGATTCGCTACAGAGCTCCTCGCGCCGGATGAAGCGGATCATGGAAACCGTGCACCTCTTGCGGCGGTCCGAGAACGATGCTGACACCGCCACCGTGGTCAAGCTACTTGACCACCTAGGGCGGGATGGTCTTTCCACTTTCAGCGACGCTCTCTTGGTCCTCCGTACAGCCCCGCCCATCTAAGTCCCCACCACAGCCGACAGAAAGTCGACCGGCATCAAGGGTCTGGACAAGACGGTGCGTTTGCACCCACGCCGACCATGACAAGAGCAGTCGGGACAGCGTTCGCCGGCCTAGGCGTCGACCGCCTGCTTCCCTTTGTGCTGCCCCCTCGGCCCCTTGTCCCGAATGATCGTCTTCATCTCGGCGTTAGTAGGCAACACGACACCGCAAGCTTTGAGTTTAGGGCCGTCGACACTGCTGTCCCCCCAGAAGGCGAGGTTCTCGGTCATGACACGGGCGATCACCTCGTCGTGGTCTTGCTCGTCCCCGTTCTGAGGCAGAAAGCGCAGCGCATCCTCTTTCATAGCCTTCTTCACCATGTCAGCGACTTCCTCTTCGCCGGCCTGATGGGACGGCGCCCGTTGAAGCACCACCTCGATGACGCTCTTACACCGATGCGCGAACTCAGAGGACGCTCCGCGCACAGTCGCTGCCGCCCCTCCTTCGCCGGCCATGGCCTCCACCATGGCATTGGTCTCCAAAAAGCACCACACCGCGCACGCAAACCTGGCGAGGACCTCGGATAACCGCTCCAACTTGACGCCCGGGATGGGCGTGACTTTCGCGTGTGATCATGTCGCTCACCATCTTCTTTTTTGCGGCCTCCTCGTCCTTGGTCGACTCCGGAAGGCCGCGGAACCACAACGCATGACGAAGAGCCACCATGAGAGCTGCACGGTCGTCGAAGATCCTGTTGTACTCGTTGACCACGTCTTGGAACCTGCGAAACAAAGCAGCACGACACACCGTCACTGAACGAACCCCGCGTACCGACCGGCACGAGCACCTAATTGAGCATTCGCCAAGCGTACCTGTCGCGGAATAGGTTTGCTCCACGGCTCCACATGACCATCCACATGCCGCCCGACATCAATCGCGCCACATCCCTGTCTGACTCATACTGCTTCATCACATCCTCCTTGACACAACCGAACTTGCCGAGTATCACGTCGCTCACGTAGCCGTCGAATGCTGACACGGCGACCACGATGCAGTAGGCAGCCTCCGTCTTGTCCATCGACCGGCAAATGTAACGGCTCTTTCTGCCAAACTTCATCTCCGCCACGGCCAGCCCCGTCTCCTTGTCAACACGGACGCCTGAACCCTTCCGACCCTGCGGAGCCGCTTTGGCCGTCCCCTTGGAAGAGCCAGCCTTCGCCTTGCTCTTGCGCTTCTGCTTCCCGTCGCCGGGGATTTGGTGCCAGTCGCGGTAGGGTCCTCTGCAGGTGCAGAAGAGGCGGCTGGTGTCCCCTGTTGCGCTTCCACATTAGGGTGCCGCTGCGTGTAGTTTCTCCCGCATGACCTCAATTTCAGAGTCCGGCATCACGATGCTGGCGAGGATTTCGGGGTCCACCCCGCCGGCCTCGTCCTCTGTTCCCCACATAGCCGCCTCCTCTGTTACGACGCTCGGCCCTGCAGTCGCTGCCGTGACGTGCCCTGCCTCTGCTCCTTGGTCAACCGCCTGGTTGCTGGTCATCGGAGGAATTTCCGGGATTTTCTGAGCCTCGAGCCACTTCAGGTACTCCTCAAACGTTGGCTCCCAAGTGATTAGATTCTCGACCACCTGTGGCGCCATAGGATTAGGGATCGGTTCCACGCCAACTATGCAGGCCCCAGGAACGGGCAAGCTGGCCGCAGTGGCAGTGGCCGTTGTAGGCGGAGACGGGTTCGGCTGCGACACAGTCGTCTCGACTACACCGGGGGTCACGTGGGCCGTACCCGCTTTTGTGCGGCGCTGGTGCCATCACCGACACAATCACCGATGTGGCTGTCTCGACCACGCCGCTGGGTAGCACACCTGTTGCGCTCGCTGCTCGCGGAAAGGCTCGTCGGCCAGCTGCGCCGAGACGCCACCCGGTCACGCATTATTGGCACTCGCCGGACTCGTAGCGGTGTGGGGATGCTGGCCCGCCCCGGACTGCGCGCCCTACTGTCCGACCACTGCTGCTGGGCGCAAGAGCTCGTCGGCCAGGAGCGCCGTGACGCAACTCGGTTGCGTGCCTTGTGCAGTCGCCGGACTCGTCGAGGGGTGAAGATGCTGGCCCGCAACGGGCTGCTCGCCCTGCTGTCCGACCACTGCTGCTGGGCGCAGGAGGTCGTCGGCCAGCAACGTTGTGACGCCGGTCGGTCGCGCGTCTTCTGCAGTTGCCATACTCGTCGAGGGTTGAAGATGCTGGCCCGCAACGGGCTGCCCGCCCTGCTAGCCGACCACCGCAGCGAGGTGCAGGAGCTTGTCGGCCAGCTGCGCCGTGCCGCCGCTCGGTCGAGCATCTTGTGCAATCGCTGGACTCGCCTCGGCTTGGGGATGCTGGTCCGCCACTGGCTGCCCGCCCTACTTCCTGACCACGGATGCCCCTTCCAGGAGCTTGGCGGCCAGATGCGCATGGTCGCCGCTCGGTGGCGTGTCATGTGCGCTCGCCGGATTGGTCGCGGCCTGTGGCTGCTCGTCCGCCATCGGCTGCCCACCGTCCTTCCCGACTACCGAAGCTGGATCCTGGAGCACATCATCAACCTGTCGAAAATTGGCGCTCAGTCGCGCGCCAAAGCCTTGTTTCGGCAAGTCATCGACGCCGGAACGACAAACATACGTAGCGGCCGGAGCTTTCACGGCCAGACCGCGTTTCACTGCGGGTCCTCTGCTTCGATTACCGCCGCTGGTCGACTTGCCGGTCAGGGATTTTTCGTCAGCGACACTTTTCCCGCCGTGCCTTGGCGACAGCCCTTGCTTCTCGGTGGTTGAGCTATCTCTGTGCATCACCGATGTGAGAGCATTTGGGAGGAGGCTAAACCTGGCTGCACCAAAGCCCTGTTGGGTCGCGGAGGTGACCGTCTTCACCACGTTGTCCCTAAGCTCTTGGACGACTTTCACAGTCATCCCGTCGATAGATGGGAGGCGGGGGGGGGGGGGGGGACGGGAGGCTGCGTACGACGGCGGCGGCGATCCCCTGCGCCGCGCTCTCCATGACGGCCTTCGCCTCACATGACACGGCGGTTTTGATCCTCTCACCCAGAGCATCTACCACACCTCGCAACAACAGGTCGTCGTCTTCACGTCGCCTACCCTTCAGAGTAGTAGCCGTCAAGTGCAATGCCTCTACGGTGAGCAGCCACCTCTGGTTCATGTGTTCTATGAGGGAGCCGCGATTGTTCACCACATCTTGCACGATCACCCTCATAGCATCCACCGCCGTTTCGATTCTCGCCCCTGACGTCTTCTCGAGAGAGGACATGCAGTCGGTCACCGACGAGAGCTTCTCGACGACCATGGTAACCACGGAGAATAGTGTGTCCATCCGGGCCACCTGGTCGTCCAGCCTCTTCTCCGCCACCAACTTCTCCTCCCTCAGCTTCTTGTTCTCCCTATCAGCTGCCTTCACACGCTCCATGGCCGCCTTTGACGCCATTCTAGTCGTGGTCGAACCACCGCTCCCCCGCGCCTTCTTGCCCGATTTGGGTCCCCTTTCACCGCTCTTATCCGCAACCTTCTCACCGGTGAACTATACGGCCTCCACTTCGCCGGTGACCATCACGTCGTCGTCCTCACACTCCTCGTCCTCCTCCTCCTCGTCCGAGCCACCATCCTTCTCCCTGCCCCCCTCCTTGTGCTCCTCCTCGTGCTCCTCCTCACCGCCATCTGTGGGTCCGTGCCTGCCCGAGTGCGATCCGCCGGAGCCTCTTCGGCCTCCCCACCCAGAGCGATGCCGGTTCTCACGCCACGACCCACGGTCGACGCCTCCCGTTTGTTGAGCAAACCCTTCGTCTGTGTCGGCTTGTTTCGCCGTCGACTTGTTGGCATAGTGTATAAATCACCGCGCAAGTGTTTCTCTCCCACCTTTTTGCCCCTGCTTGTCCCAGTTCCAAGCTCGATCACCTCGGAAAAGACGGCAAGGTGGCGCTGATGTGCGCTGCTCGGCTTCGCCTCGCCAGGACGGCGTCGAAGCCGGACTATCTGATTTTTGGCACGGCCTTCGACTTCGAAATCGTGGCCATTCTCTTGTGCATCGTGTGAATGTTCCGCGCCCGTGAGCCTTGATCGTCGCCGACACCGTTGCTTATTGTTCCCGGACAGAGCCTTGATCATCTTCGTCCTGGATCTCGTGTGTGCAGGGGCGGACCTCTTCCCGGCACGCACTGCAGCGTCCTGCTTGTTGTGCGCCCTGGCGACCTGCTTTTGCCCGACGAGGAGGACCATCGGGACCATATACCGCCACCTCGACCCCAAGACCTCCTACAAGCTCCACGAGGCGAAGGCGGCCAAGGTTTTGAGGTGGGACTACTGTCACACGAAACAGGTTCGGATATGCTACTGTTACATGTGACGGAAGTGTACTCTGAATTCGGTGACGAAGAAGTGTACAGCGAGACTCGGCGGGGAAGCCAGGGTGACAGCTGTAACTGGACAGCAGGGGTGCAAGCAAGGAAGAATGCAGACGTCGCGCATCTACAGTGATGGCAGCCAGGATGAGGGTTTCACGTGGTGCAGTCGGGAGGACAGCTGGATGTCAGCCGAGGAATTGGCACGAGGAATGGACGGCGGGGATCCCTCCTGTACATATTTGGGCTGAGTGAATGGTTTCGATTGTGTGCATGTCGGATGTGTGTGCGCTTGAATGTGTTTTCTGCTGGCGTGTGTGCAGGTTCTATCTTGTCTCGCGCCAAGAGCAAGGAGTCAGTAGCTAGCTTGGAATCTTGCTGTACATAGAGAGCTAGCCTATGTAGAATCCTTGCTTGTTCGTTTGTTTTCTCAATGCACTGGAATGGTGTGCTTGCTATCGACCTAGCAATCCCAGCCAGGAGTAGAGAAGATGTCGCTAGGACAAGGGGGTTTTTCGACAAACGAACAAGATGTGCGGCTAATGCACATGCGTTCGGGCAGGATATATGCGCCGGCACCCCGGGAGACAGTTGCGGTTTTAAGCAATATGCACGAAGGGACTCAGTCAGAGGCGCAAGGAGCGCCTGAGGGAGGACGAGTATCAGTCGGGACGGAGACCGGCACGAACGAGGTATATCGGCCTCCGCCACGCCGGCGTAGCCAAGGGGACCAGCTGACATCCGCGTCCGAGGAGGCACGGAGGCAGCAAGGCAAGGGAGAAAATCAGCACCTGCAAAGGACGGGGTCGACAGAGCGTAGAATATGGATGGAGGATGACGGATTCCGAGGAGTAACGATGCGGCAAGCGAGATCGGTATGAGTGGCCAGGAGAGAGACTTTGGCTCCAGCGCCCGAGCGATGGCGTTATTCGAACCTGCCGGAGATCAAGGTGTCAGAGCGATTCACCGGGAAAGCGGGCGTGGGAGCGAATCTCCGCAACTACCTCATGCAGATCGACAACGTGCGGCACCGCTGGACGAGGGACGGGCTGGAGGCCAAGGAATTTTATCGCGGGCTCTCAAATACGTTGGCGGGGGAAGCCGAAACGTACTACCGCATCACAAAAGCGGATCTGCTGTGCAAGTACCGCTACGCAGGGGGGGAAGACTGGGGAATCGTCGAGGAGTTCCTGGACAGCCTGAAGCGCCAATTTCCGGTGCAGACCCCGGAGAAGATCCGAGACTTCGCCTATTTTGAACGGAAGGGCGACGAGTCACTGCTGGGATACTACGGACGGCTGCGGGAACTAGCGCTGGACATGGAATGCACGGACGAGAGGCGGCTCATCGGCAAGTTCCGTAACGGCCTTGACCCAAACGTGGTGAAGGAGCTACGAAGCAAAGTATTCGAAATGGGAAGGGAAGCGTCGCTGCAGCAAGTCTACGACATGGCATGCAGATACGAGATGGGGCTCAAGCTGTACGAGCTGGAGCGAGCCGAAACCAAAGGGCCGGAGAGACGACGAGGCGTATGGCTGGCCAGTGTGCAGATGGAGCCGGCGCGTCGGGAGGAAGTGGTGGGTACGGATCGCCAGAAGTCTCACCGATGCGGGCAACCCGGGCACATACAGCGAGACTGCGATCAGGCCCCGCGGTGCGACACCTGCGGAGAGCTCGGACACCTGCGACGAGAATGCCTCAAGTCACCGACGTGCAAGAACTGCGGGAAGAAAGGCCACCGAGAAGCTGATTGCTATGCCAAGCATCCGCCGAAGGGGAGGACCAGAATCAGAGGAGAAATAGAGGAAGAAATGCGCAAGTTGAGGGCTCAGCTGGAGGACCTGGGCGGCGAGGAGAAGGTAGCGGAAGCACTTTACGTCGGCGCTGAGGAGGAGGACGACGCGGGAAGCCAAGCCTCCTTTCAGCTAATGGCGAGGCCAGGAACCCGCCGGGAAGCGGCGCGTCAGCGAGGCGAAGGATTCTTGAAGGCGTGCATGCCGGGGAACCCTTGGGTGCGAGAGGTATCAGAGGTGTGCGGAAGACCCCGATTTCGAGGACTTGGCTTACAGGCACCCGAAGGAGCGGATGCTGTGCCAGTCAACCGTGCTAGCGGCAGCCAAAGGGTCCATAACGGTTGGCGGCATACCGGTGGACCTGGCGATCATGGACACGGGAGCACACCATGTGCTCATCAGGAAGGGCCTCGCCGAGCAGATGCGGCTGAACGAGGAAGGGCGCCTGCGGCAGCGAGGATTCTCCGTGATGACAGCCGAGGGAGGAGAACCGAAGTGGCTGCCTCGCACGCGCAGCTCAGTGGAGATTGTGCTCAAGCCGGGGGAAAAAGACGAGTGCAAGGTCAAGCTCCTGTGCGGAGTGTCAGAATCCGAAGACTACGACCTCCTCGTCGGAATGCGCCTTCTGTACGCTGTGGGGGCCATGATCTGCACATGGCAGGAGAAAGTGGTGGATCGCCCGCAATTATGGGATCCGAGGGGACCGCGAGGAACGCTGCCGGTGCGCTTCATGGCGCAGGAACCAAAGGCAGCCTATCAGGCCCGCATAGTGGATCTGGAGGACCAGCTCGGGGAGATGAGCTGGTATGAGGCAGAGGCAGAACTGCGGGAGCGCCAAGATCGGGAGGTATGGGCAGAAAGGAAGGAGGTGATCCCGCGGGAAATCTTGGACAAGCGGCTCCTGCAAAAGCCGATCCGGATGGTGGAGCTGTTCGGGGGACTTGGCACCGGACTAGCAGCGGCTCTGAAGGCAGGGTGGACCATCGAGAAGTGGACATACGTGGAGGTCAACCAGAGAGTGCGGGAGATGGCGCGACACCACGTAGAGCTGCTCAAACGGACCTACCAGGGGCAGGTTTTGGACGGAGCCACGGAAGGAAATTGGCATGAAACAGTGAACGATGTGCAAGAGATCACGGAAGCGCGGGTGGCTACGTGCTCATCGTAGGGTGGGAGTGCCAAGGAGTATCATGGGCAGGCTTGGGGAGGGGCATGGAGGACGGGAGGACCGCGCTATTTGAGCACCTGGTGCGGATCATGAAGTTGGCATACAGGCTACATGGGGAGTATTTCTACGTGCTGGAAAACTTGAACTTTGCGGCAGATCCCAGGGAGCGGGTGCGTGCGGCGCACCGACGAGTAACCATAGAGCTGGGGGCAGGAGTGGCGCTGGACGCGGCGCAGGCAGGATCGCTGGGGCACCGAGATCGGAGGTTCTGGCAAAACGGCATCTCAGAAGGTCGGCTGAGGCTGGAGCTGTCGAAGCTGGAGAGGCCGATGGCAAGGTTCGTGCGGGACATACTCGAGCCGAACCGGGAAGAAGCACCAGTGCTATACCCTGATCACCCCGCCCATTACCCATGTAACCGACTCGGGGAGCCGAGGCAAGCGTGGCCAACCCTGGTCGTGCACTACGGCTCGCACACATTCCAGATGAGGGAGGGAGTGCCGGGGCCTGGGATGGTCAAGAATCTGAGAACCAGGGAATGGGAGGAGCCGACGGGGTTGGAGCGAGAACTAGCCATGGGGTTCGTACCAGGGGCTACGGCAGCGCCAGGAATCAGGGAATGGGAGCGCAGGCGGGCGCTGGGGTAGGGAATGGACGTGCAAGCCATGGAGTGGCTGCTGCACACGGTAGAAGTCCAACTGTTGCGATGGGACATGGATACCAGGGTGGAGGAGAAAGAGTGGTGGGCCGAGGGAAGCGGAGAAAACAGCGAGGCTCAGAACCGGCTCAACACCGAGAAGCGGAAGCTGGAGAACCTGCTGAACAGCGACGAGGAGATCAAGAAGAGCGGGTGGCCCCCGGGAGAGGAGAGCAACCTGGCGGCACGAAGCCGCACCGCGAAAAGAGGCTGTGTGCAGACCTTCATGGCGCTGGAGCCGAGCACGCGGGAAAACCAGATAGAACGACCAGCTGCAGCCGCAGGGGAGGACCAGGAGGCATGGGCCCCGCGCTCTCGGAGGAAGAAGCGGCCGAGATGAAGGAAATGCTGAAGCGGTACCGAAACGCCTTCGCCTATTCGCTGAAGGAGCTGGGCCGATGCAAAATCAGGGAAATGAAGATCGAGCTGACGTCGGAGACACCGACCTTCCAGCGGAAAAGGCAGATGACCAGAGCGGATGAGGAGGTGTGCAAGGAGAAATGCCATGAGCTCTTCGAGGCAGGCCAAATCCAACGCTCCACGTCCGAGTACGCAGCAGCGACAGTAGTTGCTGCCAGGAAAAATGCGACAGGGGAGGTTCTCTCAAGGCGCATGTGCGGGGATTATCGGGATCTAAACAAAATAACAAAGGCGAACCGTTA